CTGAATTTTCTCATTGCCACATAGTGAGTAACAATTTCTCAAGTGACAAATTGTAAAAATGACATCCTAAAACAGTTTGTTTGGGGACACATGTAAGTAAGAGATAGATTCAAATACAGGTTTCTACCAATTCCTAAATATACAATCGTGGAACAATTGAAAGTGGATCATTTTCCTGCTGAAAAAATCTTCAAGATAATGAGAGTAGCATAATCAGAATATTTATTTGGCTTTTTTTTTGAAGAAGAGACCATGGCAGACCAGTGTGATGCCATTGTAATAAATGGTCCAGGTAGCAGAAATGGAAAGGAGTGAGTAAGTGGCATTATGGGGTAAATGGATTCTACCTACTACAATAAATTGTAATGCTTTTTAGATAGAGACCTTGATTTAATAATTTTATCATTGCCTTTTACAAACATTAAATATTATCAGTATTTGGAGAATCAGTGTATAGGTTGTCCCGTTGGAGATTGTATTAGTTTGTTTTCATGCTGTTGTTAAAGACATACCCAAGATTGGGTAAATTCCAAAAGACAGAGGTTTAATGGAGAACTCAGAGTTTCTCATGGCTGACGAGGCTCACAATCATGGCAGAAGGCAAAAGGTATGTCTTACCTCTCAATAAGTGAGAGACAGATTGAGAGAGAAGTGAAAGCAGAAACCCCCTAAAAACCATCAGTTCTTGTGAGACTTATCCACTACTATGAGAACAGTATGGGGGAAACCACCCCCATGATTCAATTATCTCTCACCAAGTCCCTCCCACAACACGTGGGAATTATGGGAGCTGCAAGACAAGATTTGGGTGAGGACACAGAGGCAAACCATATCAGATATTTACCAACTAGTCTTTGCATAATGTTACTGTGTTTGTTTTCTACAGAACTGAGAGGCAATCATTGTGTGATGAGGTGTGACGAGCATGGCTTGAAGCTAGGATGCCTGCATTTGTGTCCTGACAGAAACTTTCTAGTTGTATGGCTGGCTCTGGGCGAGTTACTTGACCCTTTGTTGCTGTTTCTATACCTCTTACTCTGGGGTCCTAGAATTGCTAAAAGCATGCTGCTGCATACAAGATAACACAAAACTAGGAGAGAATTTTACTTTACTTTATGGTTTCAGGAAAATATGATTTCTATATAAGCCTGACTATATTATTAACTAGAAGACAAAAATAATTTTTAAAATTGAAATATGAAACAGTATGTTTTATACTAATACATAACAGGGTTTATGTATATCCAAGATTCCAAGTGAGTGTTCACTCTTTTTCCCAGGGAGATAACTTTGGTAGAAATGTTTGAGAAGCAGTGATCATTTAAGTGACCCTCAGTTTGGTTAAGTGGCAATGATGTTGATGCTAACCTTCTGAGTATTTTTCAAGGACAAATTAGATGATGAATTTCAAATGATTTTGAAAACTCTGAAAAGTATAATGTATGAGTTTACTAAGGTATTGTTATTATGCATAACATAAAGATAAATCTGTTACATAAAAATGTGTAAATTAATCATAACTCAATAAAAGTACCTAGGGTGGCCAGGATAGCAAACCATCTGCAGATTCTTGAGGAAGATACCTGAAAGATACATGAATCTATTGTTCATCTCCCCCTGTTAAGTCTTAACCTTCCAAGAGCAGAAATTGTGTCTGTTTTACTTGCTGTCATATTCCCAATTCCTAGAATGGTATCTGATATAGCAAATAGACATTTGCCGGAAAGTGAATTTATAAAGGGACTCTCAGAGCAATCATTTTTCCTATTAATGAGGACAATGGCCCCCATCTACAGCTTACCCTGATAAGCTGGGCTCAACCAGGGTTGAACTGCAGGAATCTTTTTGTTTGTAATCTGGCACCCTGAGTGGCATTAAATATATCAGCAGTATTAAAGATTTTTGAAAAGTGATATGAAAGATTAACAAAGGTGGACATTAAGGTGTGGTAAGAACAGATTTTAATCCCTAATAAACTATTGCAATAGGGAAGAGGGCCCAGTGTAAACAGAACGGAACTTGAATTTGTGCAGAAATGATTGTGTGTTTTAGAGGGCGAATAAGAGTGGTAAGAGGGTAAGGCAAGGGGCTTGAACGTGAGTCAGGGAAGTGGAATTTACAAAAGCTGAAAGGGTAGGTTTGTTTATGTGAAACCCATCTGAATTTGTTAAGTAACACTTACAGAAGTTAGACTCAGCTCCTCCATAGAGACTAGAGGAGGGGTCCTATTTTCAAGTATTGGCTGAAAGGAACAGTAAATTATTTTGGCAGCCGTTACCTTTTCCAGGCAGAAACTTAAGGAGTTTGGAATTGGCATCCTAGAGGTGTGACATTGAGTTGTTAGAAAAAAAAATGTTATTGTTTGTTGGAGTCTTTTAATGGGGGTTGGTGAATAGGGTGGACAAAATCATTTGTCAGAGCGCCTGTTCAAAGGAGTCTGACTAGTGTTCAGTCCTAGATAGGATCTTTGTCAGTGGCCTACTTTGGTTTTCCTTGGAAACCAACTTAGTTTTGGCTTAAATGGTTTTACCTCCCTTAGAGTAAGAAATGCAGAAAGAAATACAAATTTAAATAAAGAGAATTTGATTCTCAAAAGTTTAGAGCAGTGGACTTCAGCCTCCTCCTCTGTGCTTCCTTTCCCTTGTCCCCACAAAAGCCTTATAGATCTTTTCATAGAATCTTCCTTTCAATAGGAAGCAGCCCCAGACCTGTTTCACTAAACTAGTTTTATTTTAGCATTTTAAAAAAGAAATATGAAGAGAGGATCAAGATTCAAAGGGATAAAATCTTCTAAGAAAAGACACCATGAGATCAAATAAAGATTTATTAATTAGCTTGTTTGTCTTCTCTGCAGATACTGCCCTTCTTGGAATGGTGGTTCAAATTACTGTCCTTGATCAATGACTTAACTCATCAACTAGGACACAGTTTTTGGAAAAGCCTTGACTAACCCTTAGAAATTAGAAACTATAATTAGGCAGGGCAGTGAAAGGAAATAATAAATAATATGCATGAAAGGACCTGGAATTCTTAGCTCCTGTAATCTAACCCTCCTGTTGTTTACATTAAGACCTGGTTTGAGAATTGCTGCATTGACAATGTTTTTAGACCTTTGACTTTTGTGTAAATTGCAGGATGTCTCTCATAGTGAATGAAATTACTTTGTAACCTCCCTGTGCCTAAGACCTTTCCTTGGCATAGAAAAGAGATGAAATAATTCCTCGTCTGACAACTTGCTTGAGAGAATGATCTGTCAAAATAGAGTTAGTTTTGGTTTTCACCTTGGCTGGATTCCCCATGTGTATTTGTCACCATTGCCAAGGCTTCAATGCAGACAGGAAAAACATGCTTCTTCCTTATGTTGCTTCCTCTCATTGGCAATTGCTTACAAATACTACAAATACTCATTAAGGGAAAGCAGAAATGTTTCAATAATTATGGAATGTCCAAGATAATTGTTTACTTCTGAAAAATGCATTGTTGTCCCAGTGCTAGTTCTTTCCTTCACCTCTATTCTGTTCTTCTTCTGTCACCACCTGTATTCTAACACTTGAATTTCAAGCTCAGCCTTACAGAGGTGAAAAGGCATCATACCAAGCTGGAAATAGACAAGATCTTAGAAAACATTTTCTGTAACTCATACGTTTTACCAAAGAGAACCCTGGGCCATCCAAGGGTTCTTTTTCAACCACAGCCCACCAAATTTAAATTTAGCAAATGTTTATGCATTTCTTATAAGGTGAAAGACATTGTAAAAGAGACACAAAGATAAGACCAGAATCTTAAAAATTTGAATGGGTAAGGAAGATAGAAGAGATAGAATGCTTACAGCTAATCATACAAGAAAATATAAAGCAGACACAGGCAGCATAAAATTAAAATGCAGAAAAGGTAATTCTTTTCTGCAAAGGATGAAATTTTGTTAAAGACATTAAACAATGTAATGGCTATAACAATAGAATGTGTATGGTCAGGTATTAGTCATTTAGTAGACTGCTGCAATAATACAAACAACCTTCCTACTCATAAGCAGATATATAAAAACATATAAATTTTGGGTTGTTGACATCAGTACTGTAGCCTCTGTGCAGTAAGATTCTCTTTAAACAGCAAGTATTTCAATATTTATAGATTTTTTATTTATTCCCTCTGCTGGTCAGAAGTGTATTGATTTTAAGCAGATTTAATCACTAAAGAAGCGTGACTTGTTCATAGCAGAAAGTAAACCAACTTGATTAATTTAGAAGAAACTCTTCTTCATCTACAGTAAAACATCTAAATTTGTACATCATATAAATAAAATGTAATTACTGACCAAAGCAAGTTTATGGAGCATAAGAAAATTGTGTTTTTCAACATGTTTCACTTAACATTAGATTTACAGATTAAGGCTCAGAGAAAGCTTTTAATGTTAACATTTCTGGGTATGACTAGCCAGTCTGCTAATCAAAACCATGTGTATCTGTATGAGAATTCAGAATTCACGTGGAAATCCTTGGCAAATCAATGAATGTTTGGGCTGGCCGCATGATAAGAGATCAGGACTGGTGGTACAGATTTGAGTATGTTTGAGTATATGTCCTGAAGAGATGGGAGAGTGCAATTCGTTAAATGACATTAAATCCATGAGAGAAAAATTATAGAAATAAGAACAAGACCAACAATAATAGTGACTAATCATTTTTGAGCAATTATTATATGACATGACAAGCATATTATGATGTACTTGCCCAAATTATTGTATGGGCTATATTTTTATCTACATTTTCCACATGATGGGACCAAGATTCAGAGATGTTAGGTTAAATTTTTAGTCATACAACTAATAAATTGCAGGGATGGGCCTGGGACAGAATTGATTCATTTTGCTCTGTATGGCTGGAACTTTCTCAGTTTTAGTGCTGAAAGTCAGCTATCTTGGAAACTACCTTTGTGCCAGGCAAAATGGTGTCCACAGTTTCTGGATGACAAAGCTTCAGCTTTCAATTGGTATACTATACTGCTTCCACTAAGGAGAAAGAGAAACAAGGATCAGACATGGAACCTTAGGATACACAAATAATTTTTTTAAATGAGAGATAATTATGAAGTCAATACTTACAGGACCCCATCTGGGTTCTTTGTCCATTGTTTCCCCAGCACTTAGCAGTGTATCTGGCATAGAGTAGATGCTCAGTAAATATGCAGGAAATTCATTTATTGATTGATGAGTACTAGTGACTAAATAATGAAAAGATAATAGGCTGAAGAGGTCAATATTATATTCCAGAAGCATCAAAGAGTGAGGAGCTCTTAGGCTGAAATAATCAATAACAATGTTTGTTATAACATTTTTTAAGCAAGGGTGATGATTTTGCAAATTAGTGGTTATGAGAAACTTCAAGATTTAGCCTTTGAGAAGAGGGTCCCATGGAAGCTTGCACACATTCAGGAGAGAATGAAAATGAGTAAATGGGGAGAGCTGCTAGTTGTAGATACTAGGAAATAAAATCTGGATCAAGGAAATAGTGAGCCAAAACAGTGTTTTATTTTTCCTTTGCCAAAAGAGAGAGTCTCCTTAATTAAATGAAAGGGGAAGATTCATTGCAAAGCAACAAAATTATACACCAAACAAGGGAACAGCATAGAAAAGGGTTGCTTCCTGACTCAGGGAGGGTTTGGGGCTGGAACTGGGAATGAAGAGGTAATACTAAAGGGATATTGAAAATTCTTCCTAAAAGATACATAAGAGCATCTCAAATAGATGAAGCTATCGCTCACTTATCTCTTCCTTTAGTCTTTGTCTTTTCAGGCTGAACATCTTGTGTTTTGCCAAAGTGAGATGAGTTTGAGCCCCTCATCAGGCTAATGGATCTCTTCTGACATGTTCTAAGTGTGACAACCTCATTCTTCATAGTCTGTGTGCTAAAGGGAATACAATATCCAAATGTGGTATGGCCAGCACATGATAGAACCTGGCTGCCACTGCTTATTCTGGATTTGAAATTCCTTGTGCAGGTTAAAATTTCATTAGCCTTTTATTTTGCAAGTTACATCAGACTTCAGATTTTGCTACTTGATTATTTTACTTATTTTGCTAATAATATATTTTCCCCCTTAATTTTCTCTCTGCCACTGTATAAAGCAAAACTGTTTCAGCTATCAGAGAGGCATCTATGTGCTAGCTTGTCTGTCATTAATAAATCCCCAAGCTCTCTTCTCATTCCTGAGCCACTCATGTCTGGTAATGATTTCCACATAGGAACACACACACAGCTGGATATTTAAACCCTAGGTAAAGTTTTGTTTTCTGACATCACCAATTTGAGTTTGAAAATAAGACTAGATGTACTGAAAAATCATTCAAGAAAGAGGAATATGGAGTAAAGAAAAAGTTCACTCCTTTGACCTGTTACCAAGCCACTGGTAAAATGTTTCTTTTGATCTCTGAAATCAACCTGTAGAACTATTAGCTCCTGAGGCAAGTACTTGTACAGTTGTTATGCTATTAAAACTTCTGCAGAACCATTTGTCTTGAGGGTAGGAAAATTGTTTGTAGCTAGGTTGGGATTGGTTTGATTGCTGCTGATATAAACATTTCTGAATTACATTTTCTTACATGCTCAAGTTAACCTAAGAACTTCACATCAAAGAAGAAAGCAGATTGACTTGGCACAACTAGACTTTTTTTTTTTTTTAAGAGCAAAATTGAGTACAATAATAATAGCTTTCAGAAATTGTGAAAATGTTAATGCAAGAAAATTAGTTCTAATGCAAGCTTAGCCATGGAATTTTATTGGAAAAAAATTCATTGGAGCATGAAGCATTTTAAATAATGAATTTATAAGAAGAAACACAAAGAGATCACAGCCAGCCATTATTTACAATGAGAAAAAACAAGTACATTCTAATGTTAATAGATTTGAGCACAAAATACTCAAATACTTCATCTAATCTTTCTTTCATTGCCTGTTTGTCATTGGGAGGCCTGTCTGATGATTTGGGTAAGTCTCATGAGTGAATAACTTTGTGTTTGCTCAGCAGAGAACAACAGTTGCAATATGTAAATAGGGTGCTTCTTCCCGTTGGATGCCTTGGGATATGTATAATAGATTAAGTTGAGTTTGTGCAGAGCAAACAGGTCTGTATTACTAAGAATATGAATAATGTTGGTTTCCATAATTGCTAACATCTGGCTTTCCATAAATCTGTTAAATTGCATGGAAGCAGAATTAGATTTCTGTGTCATAAGTAAAGCAATTACATGGAACTCTGTAGGCAATATGGTCCTATATTCAACTGTGAAATATTTTCATTCTGGAGAAGTGAAAGCAAATTCTGGTTTTGTGACCTGTTTTTATTGTGCACAATAGGTATGTTTATGCACAGTCTTCTTAATTTATGAGAGAAAATCACTACCAATATGCTTGTAATGTTATCAATGCAAAATAACCAAATATTTTAAAAGCATAATGTAGCTGGGCATTAGTTGTCAATTTAGACATTATTTTAGAGAAAGCCATAAATTACAGGCCCTTTTGTAGCCACTGATGGTGGATGGGTTGAAATTATACTTCCAGACAATTTCTGGAGCCATTTGTTAATGGCTCCCTCTGCCCTTGTTCTCAAGCATTTGACAGAAAATCAAATGTTTTTTCCTGGGGAAGGGACAGGGCATTGCCCCTACTTCAATGTGGTTACTAATTTTCTGTATTTTTCCTACTTTAAATTAGACCCAAGAGCCTTCACAGATGCAAACTCAACAACAAAATGTGTTCCCTGAGGGAGGGGCAGGGTTGTGGTAATGCCTTATACTTATTGAACACTCTAGAGAACAAGTTTTGACAAAATAGGCATCATCATAGTCTCAGTCTGTGAATTTCCTAAGAAAGTTAAATGGAATAAATATGTCGGACATCCATACAGCATTCTGTTGTACTCTGCACTGGGAAGAGGAATAAAATTTAGTGTCTGCCTTCAATGAGCTCACTCTCTCTGGAGGTAGATATACTAAACATGTAACTCTTGAGAGATGAATGCAAGGATAGAATTGTGTCTAAGGTACAGAGAAAGCAAAATGTCTATAGTGACTGTCTTGCCATATAAGAGATGGTGATGCTTACCCTGAATTTTGAAGACTGCGTAGGAGTGAAAGTAGCACAGCAAGGAAAGTGCTTATCAAATAATTTATACCTCACCTCACTCCCTATAGGCCAAGAAAAAGTAGAGAAAGAGAGAGAGACTACCCCCTTAATAAGAAAAAGCATGTTCTAAGCCACTGTTGTTTCATAGGAAACAATATGACCTCTTTGTGGATCTCCTATTGCTTTTTTTAAAAAAGATCAGTTGACAAAATTTATATGTATTTATGGTATACAACATGATGTTTTGAAATAGGAATACATTCTGGAATGGTTACATAATCAAGCTAAGTAATATATGTGTTATTTAATACACATTTCTTTTTGGCAAAAGTGTTCTCAGCAATTTTCAAGAATACAGTACCTTGTTATTAACTATAGTCACCACGTTTGACAATAGATCTCTGGAATGTATTCCTTCTGTTTAACTGAAATTTTGTATTCATTGCTGTTGATGAAAAAGGAGGTGACGAAAGATAACAATTGAAGTGTTAGATGGCGTTTGTATGCTATGCTGGGTTTTAAAATTTTTGCAAGACCATAGATTGTGTGGGTATAGTGTATATAGAAGATAAATGAGAGAAAAGCAAAGTAACATGTCAAAGAATATACAGTTATGTGTAAAATGACTATATATGTAAGCACTCAACTAAAAAGTAAGAGCTTGGTTTCAAACATTGGTCACCTGACTCCCACATTTAAAGCTCCTTTTAGTTGAGAAGAATAAGAGAATAGAAAGAGAGGCCATAAGAAAGGAGCACCATATGTTCAAATACACTGAGAATGGCATGGGCATGACTAGTAACAGTGAGCAGATATAGTGAGGCTTTATAGTAGTTGACTTGGAATATAGGCATCATAATTTGGAATCTTTTCTATAATTTTCAAAGGAGAAGTCATTGTTCATTAATGAAATGTCTTAACTAAGGCTAAAATTGGTAAGACAAAGACAAAAGTAGATCTTGGAAAGAAGTAACTTCTAGAAATATTATTAGAATTTCTTAATGTCATCTGCTTTGTATTGCACCATGTGGAAAGAAACTTATGCATAGCAGGTAGACGAAAACCAAGTAGACTAGCAGACACTTCTTGAATGGCCTCAGACACTAAGTACCAGTACTTCTACCAATGAGTAGAAGTCACTTGGTCATATATTTCATCTCCGTTTAAGGGAGACATTTCCAAAAGAGTTATTCAAAGGTGGAATCAGGTATTTTGTAAGGTAATGGATTGCCTTTTGGGGAAGGACTTAAACCAGGGTTGGACAGGTTTGTGTTTGAGATGTTGTTAAGGTCACTGAAGCTTTAAATGTCAGAATGCTCTGACTGGATTTATGTTTTTATTCAATTATTGGCTGTCAATAAAGAGCAGGACAATATATTTTCATCAGCATCCATCCGCGTAGCTCTGTTATCATTTTTTATGCATGGACAAAAATTCTGCTGGCCATTTGTATAGTAAGGCTTTGATTATAAAAGGCTCCTCTCAAGAAATGTTCCGACTTCCTTCAACCTTGGTTGTAGGATCTAGGAGCAGTCTAATTGTCTCAAGGTTGCCCAAATTGCCCAGTTGTTCCTACTCAGTGGCTAATATATTCACATCTTTTCTAAAAGACCCAGATCTCCATGGGTTGTATGCATACTGTTAATGAATTAACAGTGTTTATGGCCTCTGGATGAAATTGTTCTTAAGAACATCCTAAAAGCAGTTCCTAACTGCAACTGGATGTTTTAGTAGTTGGAGTCAGGCACCTACCTGGAGGTTTGAGTCTCAGATCAGCCACTTACTAGCTGTATGATGATAGCCATGCTATTTAAGTCTATAAACCTCAGCTCCATTATTTGCAGAATAGGAATAAGGACAAATCCTCTCACACAGAGCTGAACTGACTTGCAGTGTAAATGAGATAATGCATGTGAACAGCTTGGCACAATACCTGCCACAAGGTAAATGGTCAATGTTGTAAGTTAATGTTGCTGTAAATGACGGCTATTCTCTAAGTTGCCTTGGCTAAGCCTCTGTGCCTCCTATATTGCAGATATTGATGAATGTGCCTTAGGAACTCACACCTGTTGGAACGATTCTGCCTGCATCAACTTGGCAGGGGGCTTTGACTGCCTCTGCCCCTCTGGGCCCTCCTGCTCTGGTGACTGCCCTCATGAAGGGGGGATGAAGCGCAATGGCCAGGTGTGGACCTTGAAAGAAGACAGGTGTTCTGTCTGCTCCTGCAAGGTGAGGCTAACGTGGTTCAGCAGAAATTGACACTGTTCTTTCTTTTCCTCCCTAACTTTTCTGCCTCCCCACCTCTCTCCCTCTTGCTATTCACTTTAGTTCTCGAACAGGTTTCTCCTGTTCTTGTCTACACTACAGCTAATGATGATGCTGAAGGGCAGGGAAACCTGCTTTGACTTGATTGTGTTCTTAGTGGAAAGTGAGGTGTGAGGTCGAGAAGAAACGGCAGGGAAGAGGAAGCAGGGCAGAAAAGACAACGATAGTCCTCCCACTGAAAGCCTGCAGTGTCTTTAAGTTTGGTTGGGTGAGAGTTTTAATGAGCCCTCATCCCACACTTATACAAATTTGCTGATTAAAACTACTGTTTGCCTAAAATCACTGCCTGCATGAACTTGCTCACTTTATGACATCATCTAGAAAAGCAAGGCCAAAATACTTGCATCCAGTGCTGAGACAGGTGAACTTTCATTTTGAACAAATGATAATGATAGTATGAGGCCTCTTAGAAATGGATGTCTTCTTTGTTATTCTCAGTGCTTGACTATTCCTTATATTAAGTTGTTTGGAAGTGAGTTTAATGCTTATGAAAATAAAATTCTGTCATCATTTGGTTTTGCTTTATGCTTTGTAAAATGGGTCCATTAAAGTGTTTGATCTCCTTGTGCTTTATTTCTTCTTTTATTGATCTTGGCAATTTATTTTTCTCTGTTATTGCTGTACTGTAGCTTTTGCCTTGTATGTCTATGTCTGTTGGGATGGAAGTATTTAATCTTGGGCTTTATGGGCATGGGAACCAAGAGAAATTACTTGCTTAGTGTAGCCTCTTAGAGAGCCAAGTGTCCTGATAAATTCCCAGTGTGCTCCCAAGAAACAGAGCTGAAATCAGCCTTAAGAAATCATCCAGTTCACCCACTGTCCTTCATCTGCCTTCATCCGCCACACCTCCACAGACCTGTGGACACCTAATTAGGAGGACCACATTAACAAGTGCTTAGATCATTACCCCATAACACCTGTTTTTTCCCCCTTTCACATAAACCTTGTTTCCTGCACAACAATTTAGGTTTGTTTTCCCATATTGGAGCACCTGCTACGTTTCAACCACCCTGTAATTCAAAAAAACAGCATCATGTTTACTTCTTACAGCACTACTTTGAAAGACTGAATTTCTATGGGATAAAGTAACTTGTCCTAAATATTAAAGATATAAATGTCTAAGCTGTGACATGAACTCCAATAGCTTGGCTCAAAGTTCATGGTTTGTCCATCTTGTCAGATGTCTTGTAACACTCTACAGATTATATTTATTGGTATATTTAAAACCAATTAGGTAACGGGTAATCTAACTTGACTGAGGTCAAACTTTCAATGCAGGACTATGTAAATGACTAGTGAGACATTCCCTCAAGTGGTTTTGAAGTTATTAAGTATAATATTTAACCACATGGTGCTGACTCAAAGGGCAATTTTTTTTTCCTTTTTTAGATATAGAATCTTACTCTGTCGCCCAGGCTGGAGTGCAGTGGCAGGATCTCAGCTCACTGCAACCTCTGCCTCTTGGGTTCAAGCAATTGTCCTGGCTTAGCCTCCAGAGTAGCTGGGAATACAGGCACACACCACCACACCTGACATTTTTTTTTTTTGTATTTTAGTAGAGACAGGATTTCACTGTATTGCCAGGCTGGTCTCGAACCCCTGAGCCCAGGCAATCTGCCCACCTTGCCCTCTATAGTGCTAGGATTACAGGCATGAGCCACTGCACCAGGCCAAAGGGCAAAATTTTTTAAAAGAATAAAAATCTCGCTGTGGTTTAGAAGATTTCCATAATTTCTTATAGAAGAGGATAGCAGTTTGGTCCCTCATTCAGCCAGCAGAATGGGGATGAATTCTTTACTAGGTCATTTCAAGAAAACATTGTGTTTTAAAACTTTTGAGAATGATCATTACATATCCCCACATCCTTTTTGGGCTTTCTTCGTCCCCAGTCCCTGGAATAGGCAAGGGATATTAGTGGAGTCTTGACTAGTATGAGAGTAAAATTCCTCTTTCAGTTTTTGTTTTATTTAAGCCAAAATGAAGCAGGGAACTTACTATTCATTGAAAATTTCCCAGAGCTTCTTTAATTAACTGTGTTAATAATCCAAGCAGCCTAAATCGATTTATTCTGTTTTGAATCCTAAAGTGTTTCCAAAGTCTTATGAGAATTAGACTGAAATTGCCAAAGGGATGAGCAATTCTTGTAGTCTAATTTTGTTAATATGATGCACCTTCACTGCAAACCACCCCAATTTCTGAATAAAGTACTAGGCAGATTTCTGTACATAAATCTTTTGTTTGTGTTCTAAATGTATTCATTGCCCATTTATAGCACAGTTTCCCAGAGGTTGTGAAGGGGGAGGAGAGCCTGGGTTAGGAGCCGAATTAAGAATCCTGAATCAGATTCTGTAAGTCACCCTTATAAAATGAACTGCTTGTGGCCTTCCTTGTTTGTTTCCATTACTTGAAGTTGAAAGTGCTCTATTTCAATTTGATAAGAAATATCTCCAATACTTACACATCCAAATGGACAATTATAGTGGCATCATCTTGGAAGCTAAGAAATAAAATCAAGGTTGGGGTATAAAGTACTGTCTTTTCAATCATATCCTTGACATTTCAAATTTAAATATCATCAAACTATACAACAGTAGAATTACACAAACCGACAAAGGGTCAAGGCTTACTGCTGAAAGAAGTGGAGTCAAATTTCTTTCAAAAGGCTACCTCTCCCTGTGAGAGTCAGTATACCAGATTAGCTGACAGTGTTTCATGGTAATTGAAAAAAAGGCCTTGAAACATGTTCACAGATGAATAGAGTTCAATGGTGAAGCTAGGCTAGCATAAATGGATTTGGGCTTTTGTTAGATTCTGTGTACTTCCTTGGCAGTAACAATGTTTTTGTGCACCTTCAGACCACCTAATTAGGTACAGAAAGATTGCTGCATTGATGAAAACTCATGTTCCTCCAGCATTATTTAGACCACAGAAACCCAGATGAATAATGGTTGTGTCTCTTGGCTTGATTCCTAAATCTTGGTTACAGCCCAACTTCTTTTCATAGATACCCATCTGTGGCTCTTCTATTCATAAATTTATACAGGACTTTAGGAAGACATCTTAATTTTCTGCCTGTCCTACATGGGGAAGTAGAGATGTCCCCAGCCTATTAGTTTCAAGGAAATGTAGTATTTTACTATAAGTAGTTCAGCTCATGGCGATGAAGAGGGAAATGGATACAAAAACAACTAACCACTTGTCATATATAGTAGAGCTATGAACAATTTGCTGTGGGAACACAAAAGGGGAAGCACAATCCGCCCTCTGTACTTGTGGGTTCTACATTCGTGAATTCAACCAGATCAAAAATATTTATAAAGTAAAGATAATGCAAATTTAAAATAATATCATATAAATATTTTATTTACATCCTATTAGGTATTATTAGTAATCTACAGATGTTTTAAAGTATATGGGAGGATATGCATAGGTAATTTGCAATACGATACAGTTATATGCAAATACCATGCCATTTTATGTAAGGGACTTGAGCATCTGTGATTCTGGTATCTGTGCAGAGGTCCTCAAACCAATCCCCCAGAGATACTGAGGGATGACTGAATATTATATTCTGCGAAGATGCAGAAGGGAATAGGGAAAGCCTTTAGAGAGGAGGTGATCTTTGAAGAGGACCTTAAAGGATGAGGAATTTAGTGAAGTAAAGATGTAGAGGAAGGTGAATCCCAAACAAGAGGGAACCATAAGAGCAAAGATGCAGAAGTGTAAGAATACATATTGTGTTAGAAATATGAAGTGAATGATGAGCTTGAATATCAGGAGCAAAAAGAGTATGAGTATAAGAAGGGTATAGTCAATGATGAGCCAGCAGAGAAAGGTTAGAGACAGAGCCAGGTCATGAAATTTAGACTTCATCCTGTGGGTAGCAAATGTTCATAAGAGATTTGACATTTAGAATTGGCAGGGCCCAATCAAGGTCTGATTGACAGCGTGATGGATGGCATGAGCAGATAGAAGCTAACTAGAAAGAAATCACTTGGGCTGATGTAAAGCTTCAGAGGAGTAAAGATGAAAGCCTGAAAGAGAGATAGATAAGAAAGATCTAATGGGAGAAAATGCAGAAGTGAAAAATGGGTCCTGATGAGTGATGATGCTAGACACTTTGTGTCTGTGGTAATGTCTTCCCTATTCTTTGAGCAAAATAAAAGCTCCTGAGTAACATGTTTGATACATAGATGCCCATTTTCTTGGGTGAACAGGATTCAGGTGCCACTGATAAGAGTAAGAACGAGGGTCTGCAAGTTGGGTTTATATGCCACTACATCTATACCTACATGTACACCTACACTTATACCTATACCTATGCAATTTTGAGTAGTAACTGGATAATCTATTGGGAGGAAGAGAGCAAAATGTGAAGGCCAGATTTTGTTTTTATGCTTTCATGCAGTTAAAAAAAATGTGAGTAGCATTCAACTTGTAAACAAAGTAATACTAAAGACTTGAGCAGTGTTAGGTCTTGAGTTTTTCTGGGGACTACAGAGATAAGTAGGGAAAGGGATACTATAAATAACCAGTAAACTTCCATGTTATAATAAAATCAGGGACAAATTACTGTGGAAAGGGAAAGCAAAGTGAAGACCTTTGCCATGAGATTGGCTGGAATCATAGCCATCTGTTCTGGTTTATGTAAACCTATTCCCAGAAACTGAAGAGATGGCCATGTCAGGGACACCGCAAGCACTCATGTATCTCTTTCTGGCAAGGAGAAATCACCTGATCTGCAAGAAGCTGTCAGGATACTGGTCGTGTCTTCCTAAGTATAACACTCACAGGATAAAGCCAGGGATGAATCTAGTCTGTGCCTGGGGCCAGGGTAGAGGTACACTTTCTGAATTCCAGCAAACTACTCATAAAAATGTTTTGCCTTGCTCTTTGAACCCAGC